CTAACAAAAGAGGAGATGGAGTTGCATTATATATAAAAGATCATTACATCTCTACAGAAATCCACAAAACCAAGGAAGAAAGCCTCCTAGAATCCATACAGGTCAATATAAAAGGAAAAAAGAATAACATTGCTATAGGTGTATACTAAAGGTGACCTAACCAAGCAGAAGAAATAGATGAACTCTTCACTAATCAATTAGCAAATGTATGTAGGAAACATACCACAGTAATAATGGGAGACTTTAACTACCCTAATATCAACTGGGAGACAAACTCTGCAGTGGGAGATCAAACAGATTCCTAACCTATTTGACAACTTTGTCATCCAAAAGATAGAGGATGGAACTAGAGGAAAAGCTATACTAGATCTAATTCTTACTAATAGAGAAGAAGTGATAGAGGGAGTTGAAAGTGCCTGAACTTTGGGCAAAAGTGACCACATCATTATCAATATAATGCAAACATAAGCAATAGAACAAAATACAGCTGGTGTCTTAAACTTTAAAAGAGCTTATTTTAATAAACTCAGAGAGAGCCTAAAAAAAAATCATGAATGAAAATTCTAAAGGGGAAAACAACGCAAGAAGCCTGGGAAACTCTGAAAAATATGGTCATAAAAGCCCAGTCCAGCACAATATCACTGAACAAGAAAAACAAGAAATCCAAGAAGAAACCAGCATGGTTGCATAAAGATCTCTCTGATAAATTGAAAGACAAAAAGGACAAATACAAAAAATGGAAAGAGGGACACACAACTAAGACCTCCAAAGTGCCTTCCAGCTCTATTTTGATTGATTGATTGATTGATTGATTGATTGGTTAATATTCCATTTTAGGTACAGATTATCTTCATGGGGAGGAAGAAGCTCCATACTGAAATACTTGGTGGAACTTTACATTATGGTTATTCCATTATATGGAATCTTGTTAGACTAGAACTATTCAGTAGATATGAAACAGTATAACTGGCTGTTCAGGAGAATTATAAGGTAGGCTCTGCCCAACCAAAGTTAAATGCTTTGAAATTCATCTTAATTTGCTTCATTTAGATCTGAATATGTGTAAATAGATAAGTATGTACAAAGAGAACATAGCCGTTAAACACTGAAGAAATAATTCTATATAATACATTTATCCCATCAAGTTTGTAGCCAGGTCAAGATATGTTGATCTGTTTCACTTTATGCCATACAGCTGACTTCCTTGGAATTTTTGCATATTGTTGCCAAGAGTTGTTCCCATTTGAACCCAGAGGTTTTAAAATAGAACTCATGAACAAAAGAGCCAGCCATTCATGGGACACTAACCTCTGTATTCTATGATATATCATCCTAAGAATGCTATTATTAAAAATGTGGATTTTTATTTTTTCCCCCTATGCAATGGATTATTGTCCCATGCTGTGAGTGTTCCAGTAAAAAGTGTCCTTTTATATGTCCTTTGTGATTACTAATGTGCAGAAATATGCGTGAGGTCAGTCCAGTGCTGTGGGAAAATGGACTAGCCCTCTATTCAAATCAGCAGTGAAATCAGAAGCAAAATATGCTGTGATTATCATAGGCATGTAGTTAAATGTTGTTTCCCTTAATTGGCTATACTGTATTTATTTAAAACAAAAAAAAAAGTGGCACGTTTTTATCCCTAGAGAGCAGCAAAGTAAAAACTTTTTTTGTGTGTGTTATTTTGGTTCTTATTTTCAAAGTTATAATATAAGCAGTGTACCTTTGATTTTTCCTTTTTCTAAATAGGCTTATTGAATTTGCCCCATTTATAAGAATGGGCATATTTGAATATCTTGTTCCATGTTTCTTCTCTCATTAAATACACTTTCTTTTCTTTTTAAATAAGATGTGTAATATGTTGCAAGTTTTGTTTCTAAATCTATTACATCTTGTGTTATTTTTACTAGTATCACCACTACCCAAAACATAAAGGAAACAGGGTTTTTACACATTGCAATCAAAAGTGGTTACAAAAATGTATGGAAAAAAACTCTAGAGGGCTCTGGATAAGACTATGCTTTTTGGATTCATAAAAATTGGATTATTAGATTGCCAATTCTACCTTTTTTCTTTTTAGTATAATTATCTAGTGTAGAAAAGAGTTTTTACATTCTTTTTTTGCTAGTTTAAGACTATGATTTCTCTTAAGCATCTTGGATATGGCAGCTTCATAATGTTCTTTTCCTACTTTTACTCCTTTTGACAAAGAACTAAATATTATCAGTTTAAATGTTTATTAATATGTACATGGAAAAAAGAATATCTACAGAATAACAGAGTGGGAAGGGACATTGGAGTCCAACCCTCTGCTCAAGCAGGAAACATTATACCATTTCAGACAAATGGCTGTCCAATCTCTTCTTAAAAACCTCCAATGTTGGAGCATTCACCGCTTCTGGAGGCAAGCATTGATTAATTTTTCTAACTGTCAGAAAATTTCTCCTTAGTTCTAAGTTGCTTCTCTCCTTGATTAGTTTCCATCATTTGCTTCTTGTACTGCTTTTAGATGTTTTGAAGAATAGGTTAACCCCCCACTTCTTTGTGGCAGCCCCTTAGATATTGGAACATTGCTATCATGTCAACTCTAGTCCTTCTTTTCACTAAACTCATCATACCCAAAGGTATGTGTGTGTTTATGTACGTGTGTTATACTATAATTTATATGTAAAGGTAGAACTTGTTTCTGAGTAACACATGTATGTACATCAACTTTTATAATTTAGAACTGGAAGTGTTTCTCTTTATTAAGGAATATTTCTTTTATGTAGCCATCATTTGTACAATGAATAATCTATTTCCATTCTTCAGTCAGAATAAAACTGAAAGGGACCTTGGAGGTCTTCTAGTCCAACCCCCTGATCAAGCAGAAGACCCTACCATTTCAGATAGGTGGCTGTCCAGTCTTTTCTTAAAAACCTCCACTGATGAAGCACCTACAACTTCGGAGAGCAAGCTGTTCCACTGGTGTTAGGAAGTTTCTCCTTAGTTCCAGGTTGCTTCTCTCCTTGATTATTTTCTATCCATTGTTTCTTGTCTTGCCTTCTAGTGCTTGGAAACTAAGTTGATCCTATCTTCTTTGTGGAAGTCCCTCAAATACTGGAATACTGTAATCCCTAGTTCTTCTTTTCTCTAGACTGGCCAAATCCAATTCCTGCAACCATTATTCATATGTTTTTGTCTTCAGGCCTTTAATGATCTTAGTTGCTCTTCTTTGCACTTTTTCCAAAGTCTCAACATCTTTTTTGTCATGTGGTGACCAAAGCTGAATGCAGTATTCTGGGTGTGTTCTTACTTCATATGATTTTGATTCTATGCCTCTCTTTATACAACCAAATATTGTATTAGCCTTGTTGGCTGTTCCTGCACACTGCTGGCTCATGTTTAAGTGATTGTCCACTTGGACTCCAAGGTCCTTCTCACAGTTACAGTTTTTGAGGCAGGTTTCACCTAATCTGTACTTATATCTTTGGTTTTTCCTGCCTAGGTGTAAAACCTTGCTTTTCTCCACATTCAATTGCATGTTGTTAGATAGGGCCCATTGTTAAAGTCTGTCAAGATCTTTTTGAATCCTGAGCTGGTTTTCTGGTGTGTTAGCTATTTCTGCCAGCTTAGTGTCATCTGCAAATTTGATGAGTTCCCCTTCTATTCCCTCATCTAAGTCATTTATGAAGATATTGAAGAGTACTGGGTCTAAGACAGAACCTTGTGGTATCTCACTGCTTCCTTCCTTTCATGTAGATGTAGTACCATTAAGGACTACTCGTTGAATATAGTTTGTCAGCTAGTTACAAATCCATCTGGTGGTGATGCTGCCTATCCCACATTTTTCTAGTTTACCAAGAAGTAGGTTGTGGTCTACTTTGTTGAATGCCTTGCTGAAGTCTAAATATACTATGTCCACAGCATTTTGCTGTTCTACTATTTTAGTTACTCTGTCAAAGAATGAAATAAGATTGGTTTGGCCTGATCTATTTTAACAAACCCATACCTGCTTTTAATTATAATGTTATAATTATAACAAATAGTTTCTAGATGTTCAAAGATCTGTTTTTTTATTATTTTTCCATTATCTTCCAGGTATTGATATTAGGCTGATTGGTCTGTAGTTTCCTGGGTCTGTTTTTTCCTTCTTCCTTTTTTGAAGGTGGGGACCATATCAGCTCTTTTGCAATCTTCTGGTGGTTCCCCGGTGCTCCAGGATTTTTGAAAGATATGGTGCAATGGTTCTGAGATAACATCTGCCAGCTCCTTCATAACTCTGGGATGTAATCCATCAGGTCCCGGTGATTTATATTCATCAAGATCAGACATGTGTTCTCTTACTATTTTCTTGCTTATTTTATTTTTTATTTCTAGTCTGTCCTTTGGTAGGTTTCTTTTTGCATGAAAACTGATGCAAAGAATGAGTTAAACAGCTTTGCTTTCTCTCTACTGCCTGTTACTTTCTTGCCATCTTCTCTCTTAAGTGGACCTACCTTTCTTGACTGTTTTCTTGTTATTTATATGTTGTAAGAAACTTTTTTAATTGTATCTGACTTTTGTTGCATGTCTTTGTTCATTCTGAGCCTTTGCTTCTGACTTCATCTTTGCATATCTGCTGATATTCTGCCTTAGTTATGTGTCCCTCATTCTTCACTCTTTTTAGTTATGTGTCCCTCATTCTTGATAAATAACCTCAGGTCTCTCCCAAAACTGCAACTGTTTCACTTGTCTAGGAAATCATGAACAGCACATTTTAATTTGAAATGGAAGACTGAATGTGCCAGAGTTATGAAGTTTGGGGATGAAATCAAAATTTACACAAATATTGGTAGCTGTCCAATAACATGAACCATTGCTGATAGAATTCTCAGCTCACAATGTTTGTCTATAATCATATTAATCAGATCATACCACATATTGAATAAAGATATAGGCAAAATTTCCACACATTTCCAGCAAAGCTTTCTGTGTTAAAAAATAATAACATCATTTATAATGCTTATTTTGTACTTCAGTTTTCAGGCTGAACTACAGCAAATCTGATACAAATGACAGAAGCCAAGTTAAGAGCAGATTAAAGAAGTTTATCATTCGAAGACCTTCTCTGAAAACTTTGCAAGAAAAGGGAATCATTAAAGGTGTGTTGTTCTCTTAAATGATTTTACTTCTGATGGAATAAACGGTTGATGTTTCTTCTTTTCTTAAACTATTCATCTTCCTTACATCATTTTGTTTATGCTGAACCTCAAAGAAACATTTTAGTTTTTTTACAGAAATCATCTGATGATCTATTCCCAAATGCATAAAGAGATACTGTCAAAGATAAATCAGGGTAAAATCATCAAAATCCTGCCCCACAAATTCTCAGACCTTATGGAAATTGAGAAAAATGCACAAAGCTATCAGTTATGGACTTTACTGTATGTGCATTGTGTGTGTGTTCTATGGGCTTCAAAGGTCCTCTAGAAATTAAGAAAAATAGGATTTTGAAGTGAGGCATGTGCTCAGGAAGCAATACTGTTAATATCAGAGGTGACCCTAGTATGCAAATTGTCAGCATTCATATTAGTGATAATGATTTTGCAAGAAATCTCAGAGTTTCAGGGCAGTTTAATTTCCACTTATCAGAAGAATTTTCACTCCAGTCTGAACAGAGTGGGCATAGGATATGATCTTGTTTTTCAGAGCTATATTGTCCAACTAAATTGGTTGAACAGATCTAGTTATATGTTAAATTTTTATGTAGTTGGAGAAAAATATTAGCATGAAAGTTAGCTTGACTTCCCAACTAAACATGATGGCTGTTGATATGTCTATATTTATTACATGTGTGTGCAACAAAGCTTTTATATTAGCTTCCTTGAGCAGGGCAGCTGGTAGTTATTGAAGGAAAAAATATTCAGAAATGGATTTCTTCCAGCTAGTTTATAGGAGGGTACATGTGGTTTATGTACACATATTGAGCGTGATCCAAAGCTTAATGTGCTTAATGGTACACAAAGGACATCCAATAAACAGAGTCTTTTTATCCTTTTTATGGGCTTTACAATGGTAGGAAAAATCTTTATATGTGTATAACATACTGCTTCATGGAAATACATACATGGTTTCTACACTCCCTGAGTTTATGTGAACTTTCCCTTCCATATGATGGAACTGCTCAAATGGAAAAACGTAGTTTATACCTGAAATGATGACTCTGTAGAAAATATTTCTTATTGTTTATTTATGGACATGTTTGGTATTGCGGAAGTCTTTGACTATGTGAGTAAGATTTATTTTTATCTTATTTTATAAAACCTTGCACAAAATATTTGCCCAGTCACAAGTGAATATATGTTTAAACCACAACTGATCATGTAAATTAGGTAGTTAAAGGCTCTTTGGCACCAGCTGTGCACAGCCATAGTATACTGGATGTTCTGGTTGTGTTCCAGCAATTTTGAACTAATGGAAGGGTTTCATCCACTGCAAATGAGGGCAGCTCCACAGAGGAAAGAAAATAGAAAGATCCAAGAAACAGTAAAGGTGGATATTCACCACTCAGAGAGTAATGTAAAGTATATAAGCCTAAATACTATTGCTATTGCTATTCAGGCAAAAGATTGGGCTATGAGAAGCTATTTCCAAAATTGATTCCAAGACAACTGCAAACTTGTCCAGGCATTTGGCAGGAGTCAATATTGACTTGAAAGCACAAACACACACAAACAAACATTCACAGAACTGCAGAGAACTCAGTTCTTAAACTCTCTTTTTTGAAGATGAAAATAAATATTTTCTGTTGCTTTAAGATTATGAACACAAAAAAACATGATTGGGACCTCTACTTGGATTTTGACTGAACAAATATCAGGCAGAAAGAATCACGACCATTCCTTAGGTTGCTGCATAGGCTTTATTCAAACCTAAACACAAGAATCTAGTCAACTAATGATTAGCACTAAATTGGTGCTAGATAAGAGCCAACAAAATTCAAGGGAGGCTGGACTTGGATCTCTTGTGGCAACACAAGGACTCTAAACTGATGATGCATTTAACTCCACCCTTCAGCTCTGCCTATTCTTCTCCTACAACACTCAGCATGATGAAATGGGCAGTTTCCAAGTCCATGAAAGTTTTCCAGTAAATCAATGCTAGCTACAGTAGTGAAACTTAACCCAGGGATTGAAATGGAAAAAGGAATATTCCCTTTCCATATTATAACAAAGCCACAAAACTGGAAAAAAATCTTGTAAATTATTGCTCATAATAAATCCTCTTTAATAAGCTTGTTGTACTTCAAACCCCCAGGAACTGGTAACTAATCCCGTTAGTATGGGGGAATGTATATTGAAGTGGGGTTTAAACCATTTTAATTATTTATTTAGATCTTACTAATAGTATAAAATTAACATGTGAAGTCAATGATTCACTTATCAAGGCTCAGTCCATGTAATCACTTTGAACAGCTTTTCTATTGCCTAGTCATCTAGTAATCTAAATATGTGGCATTCAAATGTTCATAGAATTTGTCAGATATTTTACGTTCTAGCAATCAAGCACAATTTCACCAACTATGTATGGTGGACTTTCAGAAGTTGTCCTCTTTTACTGGTTGCCTATAAATCCCAAACTGGTAGAATAGCAAGATAGAAAATATTAGAAAATTGGGCTGCATTTGTTGAGGTTTGTCTCAAATTGTGTCGTCTGATGGTTTATGGGTTGGCTTTGAAATTAGTTGAAGCTTTAATTTATTGACATAAATTTTTATATTGCTTTGCTTTGTTTCAGTTTAATAAATTGTAGCTGATGAATCTCCATTGGTGTTACTTAGGGATCAGATATGATCCTTCCTAACAAATGCAGATTCATTAGCATAACTCAATTCCATTCTCTAATGCACAGGTGTCAAACTTGCCATGTCATATGATGTGTCATAATTTATCGTGACTTTTTTCGCATTGCCGGAGCTGGGGTGGGTGCACATGATGCAAATGGCCCGTGGACCGGCAGTTTGATACCCCTGCTCTAATGTGTCTCTGAAGAAAAAGCAGATGCAAATGTTTTCAACAGACTTGCTTTAAAATGTTGATTTACCAGCATATAGTCTGGTTTTTATCTAAACACAAATATGCCTTGTATGATCTATCCTTTTCCATGAAGTGTCATGCTTTGCCACAGAGACCCAATCTTTTCTAGCAAGGGAATATTTTTCATGAGCAAAAGCATGTTAGTTTCCTACCATAAAGTTTCATGAGGATTAGGTTGCGGCCATGCAAATGAGTTAAGATTTGTTAGCAGAGCTTAATTCCAATCTCCAATATGTCTATGTGAAATGCTCATTTTATAAGGTGCTTTCATTGTCTTCAGTACACTTTATCCCTTAATCTGTTCAAATGTTATGAAAATGCAGTTGCAATGCTTTCCCTGACAGCAAACACTTTTAAATGTTAATTTTTAAAGCTTGAATTAAAACATGTTAAGTAGAAACACAGATTAAAAATAAAAGAGCTGGCCAAATTTCATATACTTGAAAGAATGATTTAATTTTTTATAGGTGAATTAAGAGGATTGAGAAATTGCTTATTTTTACTCTTCTTCTTTCCTCCCTCCCTCCCTCCCTCTTTGTCAATAACAGCAGAAATGGTTTGGGTAGAGATTTTCTTACCTTTTTATTACAAGAACTAGTTTTTAAGAACAATTACCTATTATTTGCCACAGAAAGATCCCCAAGAGAAAATTAAATTGTTACTTTATCCAGTTGATTCTTTTCTACAAAAAAATCTCCAAATGGGGTTAAAATATAGATAATTACAATAAAAGTAATTTTAAAAATTTGTAACAAAGCAAATTTAAAACTTGTTGTTGTTGTTAATTGCGAAGTCGTGTCTGACCCATCGCGACCCCATGGACAACGTTCCTCCAGGTCTTCCTGTCCTCTACCATCTTCTGGAATCCATTTAAGTTCACACCTACTGCTTCAGTGACTCCATCCAGCCATCTCATTCTCTGTCGTCCCTTTCTTCTATTGCCCTCAATCTTTCCCAGCATTAGGCCCTTCTCCAGTGAGTCCTTCCTTCTCATTAGGTGGCCAAAATATTTGAGTTTCAACTTCAAGATCTGGCCTTCTAAAGAGCAATCGGGGTTGATCTCTTCTAGGACTGACCGGTTTGAACGCCTTGCAGTCCAAGGGACTCGCAGGAGTCTTCTCCAGCACCATAGTTCAAAGGCCTCAATTCTTTGGCACTCAGCCTTTCACAGCCATACATTCCAACTGGGAAAACCATGGCCTGGACTATATGCACTTTTGTTGGCAGGGTGATGTCTCTGCTTTTTAATATGCTGTCTAGATTTGCCATAGCTTTCCTCCCCAGGAGCAAGCGTCTTTTAATTTCTTGGCTGCAGTCCCCATCTGAGGTGATCTTTGAGCCCAGAAAAATAAAATCTGTCACTACCTCCATTTCTTCCCATCTATTTGCCAGGAATTGAGAGGGCCGGATGCCATGATTTTGGTTTTCTTAATGTTGAGTTTCAAGCCAACTTTTGCACTCTCCTTCTTCACCCGCATCAAGAGGCTCTTTAGTTCCTCTTCACTTTCTGCCATTAGAATGGTATCATCTGCATATCTTAGGTTGTTGATATTTCTCCCGGCAATCTTAATTCCAACTTTAGATTCATCTAGCCCTGCCTTTCTCATGATGTGCTCTGCATATAAGTTAAATAGGCAGGGCGACAGTATACAGCCTTGCCGGACTCCTTTTCCAATTTTGAACCAATCAGTGGTTCCGTGTCCAGTTTTCACTGTTGCTTCTTGACCCGCATATAGTTTTCTCAAAAGACAAATGAGATGGTCTGGTACTCCCATCTCTTTAAGAACTTGCCACAATTTGTTGTGATCCACACAATCAAAGGCTTTTGCATAGTCAATGAAGCATAAGTAGATGTTTTTCTGGAACTCCCTAGCTTTCTCCATGATCCAGCGTATGTTGGCAATTTGATCTCTAGTTCTTCTGCCTCTTCAAAATCCTGCCTGTACTTCTGGTAGTTCTCGATCCACATACTGCTGGAGTCTAACTTGTAGGATTTTAAGCATAACTTTACTAGCATGTGAAATGAGTGCAATGGTGCGATAGTTTGAACATTCTTTGGCATTGGC